CACTAAACTTTGTGTTTATTGGTTTAAGTTTAAAATGTTCCAGGTTATCCTGGTAGCAAAGGGAAGGGCGCTTCTTGATTGCATTGCATCCATGGATATGTTTTGGAGCATTCTCATGTTTTATTTCACCAACTTTTATGTCACACCCCGAAACTGAAGGCGGAAACGTTTCGGGGTGGACGACGTCATGTATAGCATCACAACCAATGTATAATAGCAATCATAGCAACGCAACCATTACAATGAAAACTTAAATAAAAATGTTTACATAAATTTGGAAATCGTCTGGAACTCGTTTGAATTACATCATATAATTTGTATGAATATAAACATTAAACTCTTATTGTTGCCACTCCTCAAAAACCCAGCAGGTACCTGTCTACTGATTTCCTGAGAATACAAGCAGTTTGAAAATATCAGCATAAAGCTGGTGAGTTCATAAGCAGTAATTTGTAATGAAAACTTGTTGATGAGCTAGCCGAAATGTTTGTATAGATTCAAGAAAATCCGATATTTTCTTTAGTGAAAATGTAGCGTTATCGATTACGTATAAAACCATGAATGTTCGTTACTGAAAACTGTAGTGATATGCGAAAATACTACCTCATGTGACTAGCTAAAGCTAATCATGAAGTATAAATATTTTGTATGTAAAGCCATAGCATAATTGGTTCTGTTTGAAAAACCTGGCTTGGCCAGTATACGTAGTGTGTTTTAGTTCTATTTAGTATAAATAAAACCGTTGAAGAGTCTTGTAAACTAAAGGTGATTTATACATAATGTGAGTCGTATAACCATGCTTGATATGACTAGAGACCTTTCCAACGTTCTTCAGGCGTCGCGCTAAATGACATTTGTCACCCTAGGCATGCCTGCCTAACTGTAGCTAGCAGTTCGGGTGTGGGATTGTCAGTCCCGAATAGATCTATTCACAAATCTCACGCTCTCCCTCCAGGAGACTCTGGTTATACTATGATAGGATTTATCCCTGTACACCTAAGGGTACAGTAGTGAAGTAGCGCCTCACAGTATCGTACAATCTAGTTGACATGTAGTGTAGTAGCGTTCTACCGTAGTGAAAATCCGAATGTATACCGTTTGTAGTGATAATTACAGTTATGAAAACGCGATAAAGTAGTGATGCAAACTGTAAACTATTTCTGTCTTAGTGCATACGTTGAGTAGTGAAAGTTTCTATACTTGTTATGTTTAGAAAATCCCGAACTATACCGATTATAGTTTGCATGTAAAACGTAGTGAATAGCGAGTCCGGAAAATCAAGCAAGTTTAGTGAAAACGTCCCTTATGCTCAACACAGTACAAAAGGGTTAAAGTATGAGAATTTCATGAGTTTTGAAAACATTTATGTTTAGCTTGTACTCCCCCCTGAAAACATTAAAAATACGAAAAATGTAGGGGTATGAACTCACCTCGAGTGAGTGGTTTGATTGAAGGATCGATACGGAAAGCTGGGTGTTCAAGTGAAGCCTTAATCACGATTCGATCCTAATTATCACGCAATGACACATAAAAGAGTCAAATGAAGGTATTTCACCACTATAAGTGATGGAAAACCACCCTAGAGACTTAGAAATGCTTGTCGGGACCCTATATGATCAAACGAGGGAGGTGTACAGCCAACAGTGTGTGTGTGCGGCCAGGGTGTGCGGTCAGCATGTGTGTGCGGTTGCACACAGGAGTGTGTGGCCGTACAGAGGACGTGTGCGGTCGTACAAGGGAGTGTGTGGCCGTACATAGAGGTGTGCGGCCGTGCACTCTTCATTCATGCTAAAAATGTTGATTTTCAAGTGTTTCCAAGTCAATACCAAGTCCAACTAGCAAATGGAGGCCAAACTCTCACTTTGGAGAGTCTTTCAAGAGTGTGCGGCCACCCTTATGAAGATGTGCGGCCGTACACCTTCATATGATGAAGAACATGATGAAACTTTGATGATTAAAGGCTTAGATCAATGGGTCCTTCATGTATGATAAGCTAGGTGATAGAAAACTCATGTTTTTGAGGCCTTGAGAGTGTTCTTGGATGAAGTTCTTAGAGAGAGAAAGTAGAGTGCAGCCAAATGAAAGGAATGAGTGAAGGGGTCACCCTATATAAATAGGGATGAGTGTGCGGCTGGAGGATGGGTGTGCGGCCACACACTCGTGTGTGCGGCCATACACTCGGGTGTGCGGCCACACACTCATGTGTGCGGCCATACACTCGGGTGTGCGGCCACACACTCATGTGTGCGGCCATACACTCAGGTGTGCGGCCACACACTCCTTTTGATGGAGTGTTTGGCCTATTTGCAACCCTAAATCTTAAACCAACCCATTCCTAATTCAAACTTTGGTTGTATAAGGTTTTAGATCATCCAAACAGGTTCAAAATAATGCTAAAGATAGCTTAAACGAGTTTAACATTGATAGAATTTGACTAAGGTACAAGATAGAAGTTTCGGGTTGTCACATTTTATTACTCTAATTTTGATTAAGGTTTGTCAACATGAAAAAATGATTATTTATCTACCTTTAGAAATGAAATTGAAATGGTTATTTTTAATTAAAAATTAAAATTTTAGTTTTGATTTAGAATCTTATACTGTGAGTGGGAAAAAAAGAGGAACAAGGATATGTGTAATTGCATATTGTTTTGCATTCTTTCCATTTATGTTGTATATGTGCGTTTATATATTTAAAGAGTTTCAAAGAGAACAGGGTAAAGAGTCTAACAAAAAAGTTTTATATATCTTAAGTATTTCAAAGGAAAATGAGTAATGTATTTAGGTGATTGCTTGTGAAAAGACTTAAAAAAAAGTAAAAGACATTTTGAAGGCCACTGTTATGTTGTGGTACTTATCTTGTGTGATGATATTACTATTGTTTCCCTCTTCTATTACTTTGTTTTGATTTGAAATTTAAACTGTTTTGAAACTTAGACGTTAGGAACAATTTTTGAAAAAATGATGTTCTATATTTTAAAAGAGTATTTTAATGGTTTTAAAATATTAAACCAAAAGAGGGGTGTTTCAATAAGTGTATATCTATAAAACGTTTAAACCGTATTTACATGTTAATGTTTAGTTATTTACATTTAAACCGTAGTTTTCCTTTAAATTACACATTTCTATCTAAAAATATATATTTTACATTGAAATTTCGTATTTAATGAAAATACGGTTATAATATAAATAATATATAGCTATAGTTACATTACGATTTAAGTGTAAAAAACCTTTTATTTATACAACAAAAATGTGGGTTTTAAATTTAAAAAAATATGTGTATACAGTTTCAAATGTGGAAAAATATTTATTTATATGGTTTCAAATAGAAATGCTTAACATTGGAAGAAATTTGAAAAAATAATGTTCAATCTAAAATATAAAAATGAAGAGTTAACTTTAAAAAAGAAAATAAAAACTAAGTGTTAAAATTGAAAATAAAAAACTAGTGAGAAAATTGAAAATAAAAAACTAGTGAGAAAATAAAAAACTAATGAGTTTTAAGTAATTTTTTTTCAAGTTTTTCATGTTAGATAATGACTTTTGTGCAATTTACATTTTAATACATTGGGTTAATCTAAAAAAAAACCATATATTATGTGTTTTTTCGGGATTAAACTTTTAAAAAAATTTTGTCTGAAAAAACCTTGCACTTTTTCTGTTTTTTCCGAAAAAACCCTTAACTTTGTATTTTTTTTCCGAAAAAAACTTTCAACCTTCTAAATGCTTCCAACTAAACCCTCAACTTTTTTAGTTTTTCTCGAAAAAACCCTTACGTTTTACAAATTTTTTTTGGCAAAAACCAAGTAAAATGTCCTAATTGGGAAAAAGTGAAAAATACAAAATTTTTCAGGCATTTTTTTTAAAGTTTAATCCAGAAAAACACAAAATACAATTTTTTTTTATATTAACCCTAAGGACAAACGGTATACGTAGAACGAGCAGGTTCGTGGTCTATGTGGCCATGGAAATCCATCGTGCACACTACCCCGACCATTCGTGGTCGGACGTGCTCGTGATGAGTTGTTGTGCAGACGACGAAAGAGGATGACGAATGGGAGTGATTTCTTCAATTTCGACCGTTCAACGGTAAAAAACTTAACCAATTTATGTTTTATTTTTATTTTTTTAATATATAAACATTACCTATACAAAGACAACAATTTTACAGCCTTTATACATTCAAATCATTATTTTTTACACTTTCTTTAAAACACATATTTATGGATTTCTTTAAGAATTTCGACTCGGATGATGATGGAGAATTCATCTCGACATTCTTCAATATTGTGCAACACATTCACGATGAAGATAGTTCAAATGTTTCGCAATCAAGAGCGGTCGTCAATCAAGATCGCCAAGCCGCACACGACTAATTGGTACGTGATTACTTTGCCGATAATTGTCTTTACAATGAAGATGCGTTCGAACGTCGTTTCCATCTTAATAAAGCTATATTTTTACGTATTAGTAATGCTTAGAGGCCCGTTATGATTTTTTTAAACAAAAACCCGATGTTAGAGGAATTGTGGGTTTTAGTAGTATACAAAAATGTGCGGCTGCACTTAGGTATTTGGGAAACGGTATAACCTTTGATGCATCGGATGAGTACTTGAAAGTATCCGAAAGGACTGTAGTTGAGTGAGTAGATTGGCTTTACGCATGTGTGTATGAGGTTTTTTAAAAAGAATATTTGCGTAAACCTACTCCACGTGATATTGAGTTATTATATTTGGCTCATGAAGAGATGCATGGATTTCCATGTATGTTTGGTAGTCTAGATTGTACCCATGTGGTTTGGGAAAATGTCCAAATGCGTGGCACGGTCAATTAACGTGAGGTGATATAGGTGAGCCAACTATAATATTAGAATTTGTTGCATCTCAGGATTTGTGGATATGACATTCGTTTTTTGGAGTTGCGGGGTCTAACAACAGCATTAATGTTCTTTGTCAGTCTCCTCTTTTCAACGATATTTGGACCGGCAAAGCACCTGATATGTCATTCACGGTGAACGAGCATTCGTACAAATACGGTTACAATGCAAAGTTGCTCACAAAAAGGCAGGAATCAGCGAAAAATGATATCGAGAGGGCATTTGAAGTCCTCAAGCAGACATGGCATGTAGTGAAATACGCTACACGACTCCGGGATAAAGATAGAATTAAACGAATGGTCGAAGCATGTATTATACTGCATAATATGATTATTGAAGATCAAGGTCGAACGATTTGCACGTATGATCCGGACGACGTTGTCATCCCGATTGAGGAGTTCGTACCCGGAACGACTGAATTTTTAGCTCGAGTTGTTGAAATTCATAATAGTGAAACGAGTTTCAATCTTCGAGAAGATGTCGCAAAACATTTGTATCAACTTAACATGAACGGATATTAGTTTGTTTTTTTTTTATGTTTGTTATTTTTTTATATTAGCTGTTTAGTTCTAGGTTAGTTAAGTATGTAGTTTTTAATATGAATGTAATGTTTCTTTATTAAATGAAAAACTAGTTAAAAAAATTCTATGTTTTTTTTTTTTAATTTTAAAGTTGTATTTTTATTTTATTTTTTGAATTAAAAAAAAATAAAAAAAAATGATGTGGAGTGGAGTGGAGTGGTAGTGGAATAGTAGTGGTGGGTATATCATACGTGTAGTGGTAGTTAGTGATGATGATGTGACACCTACAACTATAATAGTTAATGGCATGTATAACATATGATCTAGTAGATTTGTCAAAACATATCCATGTCACCAAAGGTTGACACGTCAACACATCATATCATCAGGTAACTGAGTTGACCGATTAGGCGGTTAGTGATCAATATTATAAAAATTAGGAAAATTTGCTACTAAAATTTAACGAAAAATAAAATATTAAAATCATTTTTATATTAAAATATAATAACTTTTATGCAATTTACATTTTAATAGATTTGTCGGAACATATTCAACGAAAAAATATAACAACCTAATGATCAAAATTCCAATTTTTAAAACAGACAAATCTTATTGTGTTATATTCGAGGTAAAAATTAGTATGGCAAACCGGTTAAACATCAATTAAAATCATTGTTTTTTTAACTAGAATTAGTTGAACCAATATATTCAACAAACAAATAGACATCGTATTTGAAAATTTCTTCAATACATATCGACAAACACTATTTTCCAACATAGAAAAAACTCCCATGTTCCTGCGAATTTTTTGAACATTTTGTTGTTTGTATATGCATTATTAGTGGGAAATTTTGATCAAATATATTCAACTGAAGACCAAGCCAAAATATTTCGGAATCAATTTTAAAATTTTTCTGGTTCATTAAAAAAAGGCAAAGCATCAATACCAAGACAAAGATTTAACATATGGATTATAGGCCGATTAAGCATCAATAAGTAAAAAATGACAATGATTCAACATATTGGAAGATTATAAAGCTTCAAGCATGTTTTGGTAGGAGAGATAAGAAAATAAAAAAAGTATCGACTCTAAACAACTACGATGGAGGGCGGCGGCGGTTTGACTTGCCGGATATGACACGACAAGGAGAAGATTATTTGGTGGTGATCTTAAATACTTACACAACAGATGGAAAACGTAAGTTTGTGTTATAAATTTGGAATTTAAATGGCAATGGGAGTAAAAATACACGTCTTAATGGACAATTTCATCACTTTCTGATTTAGCCCAGTAAAAGTAACAATATAAAGTTGATCTCATTCTGGACATCAAATCTGTAAAAGTAACTAAAAGTTGGACGAAAACTAAAAAAAAAAAAGTAAAGTTTTTAGGACTAAATTAACGAATAAAGTTAAAGATCGAACCAAAACTGTAAATGACTTAATTTTTGGATCTAGAGACATGGACGGATAGCCCGGATCAGGAATTTTTTACTAAGCGCCAAAAAGAGAGTGGGACAGATCAAACCCTCCAACTTTGTTTTGTTTGACAAACACGAAATAAAATTTATAAATAATAGTCAAAATTATTAAAGTTTTAATAAAGATTGTTATTTATTGGATTGGTAATTGTAAAAAGATAGAACTGCGTAAATATCGCGTGGTGAATAGATAGATTTTTTTTTTCCGAAAAGAAAGTGGTTGACAGGATAAAGTTGGCCCATGTGTCTTGGATTAGAGCTAAAGTAGCCGTTGATGGGCCATCGGTCATCATCAAATAATTAACACACCCACTAGTACTACTAACTTCAAAATCTTTACAAAAACTTAGGATCCAATTTGCCACATGTCAATCTCTCATGAGTTTTGATACTTGTCATTTTATGGTATTTTTGAAATAAATATTATTCACTTGTCAATTTTTTGTTTGTTTCAATTTTTAAAATTAAAGTCATATACTTATATATGTAAAGTATTAAATATCATATATGATATTAAATTGCAATAAATACATTTCTTCCTTTCTTATTTTAAAGTTATAGATTAAAAAATATTTTTTGTTTACACTTTAATGTTTATTATTTTTTTAAATCCACCCGTGTAATACACGGTCTCACACCTAGTTTAAAAATAAAAAAGACATACTCTAAGGCCGACTAATATACTTGCCACAATCATCAATGACACCACGGGTCGTGCACGCTATCACTGGGGGTGTCACGCGCGTGGTGGTTCGTCGAAAGACCACAACTCTTTCTCTCGAAAAAAAAACCCCCCAATATACCATTGTTCATTATTTTCCATCCTATTTCCATAGAGATTCAAATTAATATACAAAAAATGATTTTTTTTCAAAAAAAACTCACGTCATTTTTATCGAAAAAATTTAATAAATATATCAAAATTCATATTTTTTGTACTCTTTAAACATAGATTCATATGGATGTAAAAAACAACGGAATTTCAGTACTGATTCACATTGTGAATCTGCTATGTGAATCTCGAATAATACTAAATCTGATTCACATTGTGAATGTTAAAATTAAAATATTTACAGTTTAGATTCACAATTTGAATCAGAACTAATTGAGTTTCTTTAATCGTTGATGATGTTTATTAATAGAGGACAAAAAATTGAGATGAATCTCTATGGAAAGATGACGGAAAATCGTAAACAACGGTATATTATGTTTTTTTCGATAAAAACGTGACTAAAAAAATTTTAAAACAGAAAAAAGAGATGGGTTTTTTTGGTAAAGATGTGAGTTTATGATATAATCCGATGTGTGTGTCCAATGTACAAGTGTACTTCCATTCCCTTGGTCGTCGATCGTATTAAATTTCGACGTTCACGATTGTTTCATTGGTTCCTTGTTAATAATGGTTCTCTATTGAACCTCACCCTATATATATATATATATATATATATATATATATATATATATATATATATAGATATATATATAATAAATGAAGATTCATTTTGTCACATGTTAATCTTTTATTAGTTTTGATACTTGTAATTTTTTGATATATTTGAAAGATTCATTTTTGAAACGTGTCAATCTCTCATGAGTTTTGATACTTATCAATTTTTGATATTTTTAAAATAAATAATATCTACACGTCAATTTCTGATTTTTTATTTTTAAAATTAAAAAGCCATATAATATTTAGACTTATATATAGTATTAAATGTTATAAATGTGACTAGTAAATTGAAATCAATACATCTTTTTCATTCCTTATTTAAAAATTCTTTTTAAAAAAAATCTTATTGTTTACACTTTATATTTAATCATTTTTTTAATCAACCCGTGTAATACATGGGTCTTACACCTAATATATATAGGAAGTACACCATTAATACTATATAATTTCATTCGTTAATATATATAGGGAGTACACCATTACCGGAGGTGTGATCCGGAATACGATATTCCGAAGTATTTATGATTTTGTTCGGAGTGGGTGGCGGTTGTGGGGATGAGATCCGGAATCTGACACTCCATACCTTCCGGACTGAAAAAGTATATTCTGGACTGAAGTCCAGAATGGGCGTACATTCCAGAGTGGTGTTCCTGTAACATCCGGAATCTAGATGGTCAATTATGGAAATAAATTCTTTTTAGGGGCCAACTCGTCGAGTTTATGGTATAAACTCGACGTGTTGGAAGCTTTTGGGGCGCGTGTTTTTAAAGACCAACTCGTCGAGTTGGTGAAGGGAACTTGGCGAGTTTGACGCTGTTTGAGAAACCCTAGTTTCGAGATTTTGCACCCTATTTAAACACCTTAAGTCCCAGGTGTTGGCCTTATTTCCAACCTCCATAGCCCCTAACCCTAATCTCAAAACCCTAGAGCCTCCAAGAGTGTTGTGAGTCCATTGTATTTGATTTGGTGTGTGTTTGAAGCTCATTCAAGGAGGAGAAGCTTGGTGCAAAGTGGTGGTTCGAGTAGGAGCTTTCAGATCTGGGTTTCTTGCTTCATTTCCAGCATATTTTGGGTATAAAGTTCTAACCTTGCTTACTGTTTGCTTAGATCTCTTATTTGGTTAAATTGCATGCTTTTAGCCATGGATGGATGATTATTAGGGAAGTAGAAGTCCCCAAGTGCTTACTCTTTCAAATCTATGCTCTTCATGAGTTCTTGTGGCATAAAGGTGTCAACTTTATGGTCTTAAGGGCTTCATGCATCTAGTAAGTTCTTCTTTTAGTCCCTTATGAGCTTTTTAGCCCCTCCTAGCCATGCATGGGTGTAAAGTTGGAAGCTTTACGTGACCATGCAACCTTTAAGGAGCATATCTGTATTTTTGGGGCTTTGTCTTGGTGGATTAAGTGATTATTGATTAAGCCCCTTAACTTTTTAAGCCTAGGATTTGGGTTTTGAGCCCATTTGGTTGGTTCCTAGGGGTAAAGTTGGAAACTTTACCCTTCTAGACGCTATTTTAGTGAAGATCTGAGTGGGGAAGTTGTTAGTTTTGATTATTTCATCTCAATGGATTAAGCTGTTTGGTCTCGGGTAAACTCGACGAGTTGGATGGTCAACTCGACGAGTTGTTTTGGTCTTTCCCCGTTTCTGAGTTTGTGTTGGTCAACTCGGCGAGTTGATTAGACAACTCAACGTGTTGGATCGGTTTCTTCCCGACTTTGGGGTTGTCATAGGAACTCGGCGAGTTGAAGGATAAACTCGGCGAGTTGGGTCAACATTGGACTGTTGACTTTGACTTTCAATTTATGTCTCTGACCAAGCTTGTCACGGGGGGTGTTTGTGATAACCTGATTTGGATTTAAGTAAAATATGTACTTAGGATAAGACCCATATGGGGTTGGGTCCAATTCGGAAAATTGGGCTATTAGTGGTCCTTTGTGGATCTTTTTGGTTTTGGGCCTCAGTTTTGGGTGCTGTTGGGATACGGGTAAAATAGTCATTTTACCCCAAGTATGGATTATGGATTATAGCGTGGGACCCAATTGCTAATTGGGTGTGTTGTTGGTTTTGAT